CTTATACATCAAATAATATCAGTGATCAACTCAGTGGGTCGTGATATGCTGATATGTATCTGGGAGGAATTCTCCTATCGCATTGATGTTACTCATGCTGCAGATGGTGGCCACATTGAACACTTGTAAAACAGAAAATAAAAGTTGATTGTAAGTCGGACACTTGTTACTTTGCTGGAGTCTTCTATTGCTTTTCCTTATTACAATATTGCATAATTAAATCGGTTCATTCTTTTTTTAATAACCCTGTAGTCTAATAGGTTGTGTAGAGAGAAGCAAATATCATCTTGTAATATGAGGTTTTGACTTTCTTCGTCTTTATCTTAATAGCAAGGTTGAGTGTTTGTCCTGTTTGTAAATGTACTTTTTTCTAATGTAATGATAATACTAATGGTGACATAAGACGTTTCCATGCAACAAAAAGTTGGCAATCATTGTCCGAACAGGTAGAAGGAATGTCGGTTAAAATTTATAAAATCTATTAAAATTTATCATAAAAAATATTATAAAATTTATTAAAAGAAATCTATTATAATCTATTTAAAATTAAAATCAAATCAAATCAAATTAAATCTATTAAAATCTTTATTATAGAATATATTAAAATTGATTTATAAAATCTATTAAAAATTCTAATATATTTTAAAAATTTTATTAAAGGATTACTTAAAGAAGTTTTTCAGAAATATAGACTTTTCAATTCCCCTCTTATTGTCCTTTCTCTTATTGATATGAGCCTCCTTCCAAAACTGATTTTTCTTGATTATATAATTATTTTCCCTCCTAAGTGATACGGACGTTAGTTGTTGTTTCTTTTGGGAGTCACCAAGTGAGGCGTTTGTTGGTTGTTTGGCAAAATTCGTTGCGATTTTGTAACGTCAGTCTAAAATGTCTGATAATATATCATCTTCAAGATCTTAAGGAATCATTCGTTTTGTAGCCATTTTTAACAATTGATCTGTAAAGACAGTTATACAGAGTGAGGCAAAAATACCTACCGCTTATACCGTACGGAAATACCTCCCACATTATGGTAATATATCAATGTCTTCATGTAGTTAACGTTCCAACGTTATGTTCAAAGGTGTTTCTTGGTGGTATATATATATATATATATATATATATATATATATATATATATATATATATATATATATATATATATATATAGGAGATAATTCTGCAGCAACCTTTAAATAGATGATAGTTCTGATATATTTAAATTGGTTGGACGCGCCAAGTATGACATCTATATGAGAGCCTAGATCTGACGAAACACATGGCCACAATTTCCAGGTTACCATACGATAACAAACTTATTCATATTGATTTTTTTAATTGGTGTCAACGCGTGCAAGACAGTAAAATCACTAAAACACAAGGGGTTACAAGGTGTGGAACAATTAAGAAGAAAAACAACAATGATGAGCAGAAAGAGAAGAGACTAATCAGGTGGATAGTAGATATCGATTGACATTGCATTTAATTTTTTGCAGATTGAACTTGGTTGGAAAGCATGAAGCCTGAAGAAACTTCTTCAGAAGTGCGAGAGAAGAAAGCTTTAACGTAGAATTTAAGGATACATCTAATCAACTATATACTGATTATATCTCTACGCCAGTCTAATGCTGCGCTTAAATTCAAAATCTGTAGGTACCATAGCGAAGAGCTCATTCGAACAACTACCATGAAATTGTTGATACAAAAGACACAAAGGGACAATGTTACGACCCTGGGAAAGTGATTGGTGCCGAACTGCTAGATCTGGAACCAATAATATTGTTGATTTTTCTTTGGATCTTATCAAGGAGCTTCGGGCAAATAACAGGGGCATGGGCCCATATATGCTAGCAATATTCTAAGCATGGAGTAATAGTAGACTTATAGATGTGTAAGAGAGATTTTGGAAAAAAAATTGGTCTCACCTGACACAGATTTCCTAACAATGTTGAGATTTTTTATTGGGTTCCTTAAAAAGAAATATTCATGCTTTTCGTATAATTTCCTGTCATGATAAATGTTTGAAATCTCAAAGAGTTTCATTGCCTTGGACGCCTGTTTCGAATCATGTTCATCCTAGACCTCAAGCAAACTTTATATATAAGATCCATCGATCAACAGACTCGAGTAATAACAGCTTCCTTATACCGTTTCAAAAAGTATCTGGCTCCTCCTAATCTGGTTTAACTTTACAAGAGTCAGAACCCACAGAAACTGTATATGGCTATAATTTCTGACACGAATCCATGAATTTAAGCGTGAGACTAGATAGATATCAAGGTACCACCAGTTTACTGTCGAAATAGCTAAATGCAACAGCCACTTTTATTCCAACAGTTTTTTCTTGTCTTCTTGCCCGTGGCGCTCACTTCAGTTTCCTTGTTTCCCTGATAACTACAATCTCCAAAAGTTTAAATTCAACGTGAGTCGTCATCTTCTGTCTTCTTGAATCCCATTAATCTTTTGTCCTTTTCTCAATCCTTCTTATTCTCAGTTTTCTCTTTCACTTATACTCCCTGTAACTCTCTGCGTACTTGTGGCATTACCTCCATGCATGGGGGCTGAAATAATTAAAAAAAAGAAAAGAAAAAATGCTTAATTGTCGTATTCCAACATTGATAGCCTTCAAAAGCTTCCACGTGGCCTTGTGGGTGATGAATTATGCCTCCCCACAATCATTTATCTCAAAGGCAAAGCATCACAACTCTCTTGATACTCTATCGCTATTTCCAGGGCAAATGATTTAACTATCAACATACCATCGTTTCACCAGTTCAGTCATTTAAATCTAATATCGGACATGCAATGTATACAGTTTCAGGTCAGTATAATTTCCATCGTATTACCTGCAGCTTATTCTACTTTCAAGACTGTCAAGAGGAGGCTTTCCTTAACACTACAATCTTCAAGCCTCGAGTCTGTAATCCTCTACCTTGAGTGACTCTTGAATTTTTTACCGCGTGAACAACAGTAAAAAATAAAAGAGTAAAGATTTCTTGATTTTAGTCATTTATAAACCTCTCTCTTTTTTTGCTGTAGTTTGCTTGTATAATCGCGACATTCATTCAATATTTAAACTAATTGTCTTCGATTAATCATTAGTTTGGAGCCGTTATCATCTGTGAATATCAATTGAAGACATCTATATATGTAATATAAAATGAAATTGTTTTATAAGTTACAAATTATATGCTTAATGCAAACAGATTTGAAAAGCAAACACTACAATCTGTTCTGATTTCGCTGATTCAACATGGTTATTTAGAAATTCAACCTGAAACTTTAAAACTTTACTAAAATAAAACTTTAAAACTTTACTAAAATAAATACTGGCTCAATGGCGCCACATTTCATATGTTAAATTTTTTTTTTTTTTTCTCGATGAAGTTGCTAGCGTTCATTAAACAAAGTATTATTATTATTATTATTATTATTATTATTATTATTATTATTATTATTATTATTATTATTATTAGCAGCATTATTAGCATTATATTAAATTATTAAATTATATAGAAATGTTAAATATATTCACATAAACTAGAAGGATCCGTGAACATTTCACGGTTTTTCTATTTGAATTTTCGGATAAATCATAATTCTTTAATTAATGATTGAATAAGCTCCTTGCGAGTTCTACGACTATAAAATATCCGTGTCAATTGCCTCGTTAAATATCGTGTATCGTTAAATATTTTAGCTTAACTTTAACAAATTATTGCAATAACAATCATAAGTATGAATTCGACTCATTATTTAAGGAAGTAAGAGGGTACAAATGATAAATATTTAAAATTGACAAGATTTTCCATTTCAGTAAAGCATACTTTAAACACAACAGAATGTTACCGCCTCCTTTATCTTCTCTTGGTTTCTTTCTTTACATCACTGGGAGAAAGGCGTTTCTGATATGTCTTTTCCGACTTTCCTTGCGATCAAAACTTATATTTTCTATGATTTATGAGTTATTGGTACGGCGTAAACGTCGTACTAATAATAGAATAATTATCACAAGATTTATTACGAATTTGAACATGTGCGTAAAAACATTGATACCGAGAAAGTTAAACACAGGCCACTCAATTAAATTAAAAACCTATGTATATATTTAGAAGCCAGTAGAGCTTAACGGTGTAATCACCGTATGAAGTTGAATCGGTAGGCATAGTTCAGATTGCAGCTTACTCTGTTGCGTTCCATTTGGGAAAAATTCCCATGGGAAAGCTATGGATCACCCTTTTCTAAAGTTTCCCATATATGGGTTAAGTAGAAAAATTAACCGGACTTTATGGTATTCAGTGGCACCCAGTCTTAGAAAGGACAAAAGGCAATGGTCACCCGCATCCTGACGGACCGCCGCATTAAATTGTAACACTTTAGAACACAATGGGAAACCACTCCACCTTCTTTCGCAGGACCTCATAGCTATTCGTGGATAATAAAAGAAATATGTAGGCAGTTATTATCGTCCACTTCCTGAAGGATGATAGCATTAAAAATTTAGCAATTCACTCAATGTCTGTGTCAACCTTTCAAGTGTAGAATAAATCATATTCGCATATTCCACGTGGTGATTAAAAAAGGACATCTAGATTGTTTCGTTAGAAACAAAATACAAACGTGTTCCACTGCTATGTAATATCAATCCTCCTATATCATAGTGAACGCTGGACAATTTACTTACAGATAAAGGAGAAGTTTGAAGCAACAGAGACGTACTTCTACAGAAGGATGCTGAGAATAAAATGGGAAGAGGTTTTAAGGAAAATGCAGCAAAAAAGACAGTTGTACTTTGTATCACACAGTTAAGATTCCTGGGACACATAATGAGGAAAAGGGGTTTGAAGAATATGACACCCAGAGGATATTTTACAACTAAGAGGGATAGAGGGAAATATCACTTACGGTTGTATTTAAATGGCAGCGGAACGGAGACAGAAGGTGCACAGATGAATGAATGTATCGATAATTCCAAGGAGACCCTGAAATTTTCGAGAGAATCATAATTCAAACGTTTCACAGAGAACCAGAAAGACAACAATAAACTTTCCATTGTTAGCAAACATTAGGCAAACTGGGACATAAGTAATTGTGCAATGACTTTGAAGAACATGCTTTGGGAAATCGCCAACAAGGAGACAATCTACGTAGGATTTATAGAAGTCAGTTAAAAAAATAGGATGTTTGTATAAAGGTAATACATACATATGTACATAAACATAGATAGATAGATAGATAGATAGATAGATATGACCAGACTGAAATATATATATTTTTCCGTGTATTACAATTAAATGATCATTTGATTGTAATACACGGAAAAATATCCGTGAATATGAACGGATTATACTAAAAATAAGCAAACACAATTTATCCAGAGTCATTTTCATTGATGGTAGTGTTCCTGGAACTCCTTTTGTAAGACGGCGAGCTGCTGTCTCGTCACAGTCTCTTGGATTTTTCTCGACGTATTGAAATCTCGTTCCTTTCAAGTGAGATTTGATTTTTGAAGGGAAAAGCCCCAAGGTATGAGATCTGGGGAATATGATGTTTGTCACGCCTGGAAAATATTGTACCTCGCCCAAAACAACTTCACAAGCAATTGTCACTAATTGGTATTATGAGACGACCACACTCTACACACTTTCCTTCAAAGCACTGCTATAAACAACGGAAGTGAGCGAGAACGTTATTACTTAGACTGGATGCGTGACAGAAGTCACGGTCAATCTATGCTAAGCGGTTTCACTCTACATTCTTTGGCACCGTTACCATAGCAACAGCCCCGATACATTTTTTTCACCTCGTATATTGCATAGAAATAAATAAGAAAACACTTTACACTTTTTTTCTTGAAATACCGTATTTTCCGGCTCACAAGACGTTGTTGCTTAGAAGACGCGCCCAAGTACTGCAAATAAATTCTTAAAAAAATGGCATTCTCATACAACATATTCACCATGCGTCTCTCACATACTGGAGCCACATATTGCTTATATTAAATACTCGTCTGATTTGGTTTGTATGGCAAAGACATACTAGCCAAGAGCAGAAAGGTTCCCGCCGATGCTAGTAAAGAGAACATGTTTAAACTTGCGGCTCGGCTCGAGGAAGATCTTGTAAATACTTGTAACTGCTACTGAGGGTACATCATATAAAAGACTGAATTAGATAGATAGTTAGCATTATAGTGTAATTATTCAACGTACAAATCGACGTCCCTATTACTCAAGCCAATTAATTGACCGCCCAAACTTACTTAAGCCTGGGCGTTGCCTTACATTCATCTTGGAAGACGCACACGTATTTTCAGGGTATTTTTAAGAAAAAAAGTGCGTCTTGTAAGCCGGAAAATACTGTAATTCGAAACAAGAAAATTCCTCCGCCCAAACTTAAGCCTGGGCGTTGCCTTACATTCATCTTGGAAGACGCACGTATTTTCAGGGTATTTTAAGAAAAAAAAGTGCGTCTTGTAAGCCGGAAAATACGGTAATTCGAAACAAGAAAATTCCTCCGCCCAAACTTACTTAAGCCTGGGCGTTGCCTTACATTCATCTTGGAAGACGCACACGTATTTTCAGGGTATTTTAAGAAAAAAAAAGTGCGTCTTGTAAGCCGGAAAATACGGTAATTCGAAACAAGAAAATTCCTCCGCCCAAACTTACTTAAGCCTGGGCGTTGCCTTACATTCATCTTGGAAGACGCACACGTATTTTCGGAAAAGGGTAATTTTTTAAGAAAAAAAAAAGTGCGTCTTGTAAGCCGGAAAATACGGTAATTCGGTAAAACAAGAAAATTCCTCCGCCCAAACTTACTTAAGCCTGGGCGTTGCCTTACATTCATCTTGGAAGACGCACACGTATTTTCAGGGTATTTTTAAGAAAAAAAAGTGCGTCTTGTAAGCCGGAAAATACGGTAATTCGAAACAAGAAAATTCCTCCGCCCAAACTTATTTTAAGCCTGGGCGTTGCCTTACATTCATCTTGGAAGACGCACACGTATTTTCAGGGTATTTTTAAGAAAAAAAAAATGTCTTGTAAGCCGGAAAAATACGGTAATTGAAACGAAAATTCCTCCGCCCAAACTTACGGAAAACATTCATCTTGGAAGACGCACACGTATTTTCAGGGTATTTTAAGAAAAAAAGTGCGTCTTGTAAGCCGGAAAATACGGTAATTCGAAACAAGAAAATTCCTCCGCCCAAACTTACTTAAGCCTGGGCGTTGCCTTACATTCATCTTGGAAGACGCACACGTATTTTCAGGGTATTTTTAAGAAAAAAAAGTGCGTCTTGTAAGCCGGAAAATACGGTAATTCGAAACAAGAAAATTCCTCCGCCCAAACTTACTTAAGCCTGGGCGTTGCCTTACATTCATCTTGGAAGACGCACACGTATTTTCAGGGTATTTTTAAGAAAAAAAAGTGCGTCTTGTAAGCCTGGGGAAAATACGGTAATTCGAAAAAAAAAAAATTTCCGCCCAAACTTACTTTTAAGCCTGGGCGTTGCCTTACATTCATCTTGGAAGACGCAACGTATTTTCAGGGTATTTTAAGAAAAAAGTGCGTCTTGTAAGCCGGAAAATACGGTAATTCGAAACAAGAAAATTCCTCCGCCCAAACTTATTCATCTGGGCGAAGCCTTTACATTCATCTTGGAAGACGCACACGTATTTTCAGGGTATTTTAAGAAAAAAAAGTGCGTCTTGTAAGCCGGAAAATACGGTAATTCGAAACAAGAAAATTCCTCAATGTAAGCAAATCGCAGCTTCAGTGACAGTAAAATATTTTGGACTCTTAAAATATGTCGCTTTATGGTTTCACTTGCTTTCTTCAAGTTCCAGCTTTTCCGACAGTTATTATAATATGTATACAATTCTTTCTTGGAAAATCCTTACATAATGTTCACCACTATAAGAAATTTCAACATGTTGAATAAAACACCTTATTTTTCAAGTATACTTCAATTCTATCTGATAGCACCGAATAAGGATAAATAGACTCTCGGCTTGTATTTTATGGAAACTTTTTCTATGTTTCGGGTTCTTTCAGGATGTTGGAGATCGTGGCTGTCTATATTTTTTGTTCTTTATATCTGTTAATAAATTCCTAAATCTTTTCCGCCAACCATTTACTCAAGTTCTCTAGGGAGCTTATACTTTGGTTTCCACTACCCCACTTACCTTCAATCTATCTTGTGAGTATCAAATTTCCCAAGCTCACTTTCCAAAATATGTGCTGTTTAAATTTCAACGGTCCCTTTCTGATGTTATCTGTCTGTGCCATTTTTGTTTCCATTTTATCTAAAACTTCGTCGTTGCTCACATGTTCCGCCCAGGGGATTTTCACGATCATTTTCTAGAAACAAGTCCTTCATTTCTACCGATTGATCATCAATTTGACTGAGTGTATCTTCATCCTACCTTTTATTATTGTCCAAAATATTTTCAAATGCACTTATCAAGATCTGTTATAACGGATAAGGTTCCTCATCTAAAGCGCCTCTTAGCATCGGACAATTATGGATGGTGATGGTAAAATTCCTTTCGCTTTATTCGTGGGTTGGTTGATTCTGTTTAGCGGTATATCAAACTATGGGTTATTTAATCTAACTTAATCTATATTTTGAACGTAATTGTATGCCTTCAATTACAGATAAAATGTATTGTTGGTCATTTTGCTTTGTTGGCAATTTTACTATAAATAAGTATTGTTCGTTGGTTGACTTTGCTTAGTTGCATTGATTATTATTTTATTATCCAAATGCATTGTTGTTCACTTTATTATACAACATATACTGTTGATTTTTGTTTGGGAGTTCACTAATTGCCTATAGCTTGAACCCTAACAGTTGCTACCACCCTGGATCAAGGCAGATCTGGAAGCAACAACACTTAAGAGATATTCACAGGCCTTGCTGCCGGATGTATTTTATTGTTATACTCCGGACGACTTCCGTTTTGTACTCGAAAATAAATATTTATTAAATCTATATATTAGAAAATATTTACCCATTTTTTTACTATCTCAGCATTTCTTCGCCAAACTGACTTAATTTTATACGCAAAACAATGAATAAAATCATCGTATTCAAAGCATTTCTCCGTCAGTTTTCTTTTTTTTTTTTTGTAGTTCATTTCATTCAGCTGCCGTCACACTCGATCGTATTTTCGACTAACCCAGTTTAGTTTCAGACATTTTCTATCACATCAGTCAAACTCAATGTGCTTTTATCATTATCTAGATGATAAAATTTCTTAAAAACTTTTATTTATTTGACATTCACATAGATATCTGACATTTAAAGAGAGTTAGGCTTATATTGAACTATCGGTAGTTTTATCATCTTGCACTGAAATAAACGATCAAATGAAATCAGTTACTATGTTATCTGATGCAGCTAAAATAGCATTTTAGTTTGAAATTTCAAAAGTATTTTAAAATTTATCTGTTTTAGGAAAACGATTCTATAACTCGCAATAAACCTCGATATTTTCCTGTGTTTATATGCGTCCTGTTTCCCTTTATGTCAAAGTAATGAAAGTTCTTTTTGCAAAGACAAAATACTAACTTTACAAATTGTTTTAAATATTATCTACTTTCTTCCGCTAATTTCTTCTTCCGTTCTTTTCAAGCTTTGTAGACTCAGCAACTAGCAAATGTTACGTCGCATACATAAAATCCCTTCAAAAATTTGTAATTATTTAAATAGATTTAAAATAATGAGTCACTCAGAATGTGTTCTTATAATAATTATAGCCGCCATTGGTTCACATTTGTGCTGAAAAAGAAAACATATCTAACAATATAGATGGTCAAACATTGTGGAAACGACGCATTCCGCCAAACATCAGTTGATTTCGGCTTCTTCGATGAGGCGAACATAACAGAACCATGATTTACGTCTTTTTGAAGAAGGGAGAACAAACAGACGATCGGCAAAACCTGTAGAAGTTGAAATCAACAGACGCTCACCGAAACCTGATGAGATCTAAAACAAGAGCTTTTCCATATTGTCTAATCATCTGAACTTTCACATCCTACAAAGATATGTCTGACAGTATAGCCTTTCTTCTTCTGCACTTGCCCGTAAACCAATCTGTTTATAAAATCTTATTTAAATTGAATGCCCGTCGACTTTAGTTTCGGTAAACGAATAGGTCTTCCTGATTTGATTATCTCTCGCTATTCAGTCATATTTCTCTGTTCAATTTTTTGTAGAGCCAACACTGTATCCTTCTCCATTATGAGGAAACGTATAATTAATTCAAAATGTCTGACGATGACCAAAAAGTCTATAAAAACGCGCGAAATTTTTTTTAAATATTAATTACCTTTAAATAATTTGTGTTATAAGAGAAGAAAAAATTCGAAGTGTTAGTTGTCTTGCTCAATTTGTACAGGGAAACGGCGCAGATATCTTTGAAATAAAAAGAAAAAAATATTTACTGTTGAACGCGAAGAAACCTCGAATAACCGGAGGAATTGATCTATAGGTATGAATGAGATATTACTAATTTTATTTTGCATGATTAAAAAGGAGAAACAAACACAGCCGACCGGTTTCACCCTCATTTAACAGAGCTGGAAACGAGGGGATTAAATATTGCAATAAAAAAATAAAACATAAAAAGATATGTACTATCAATAAAGGAGGAATACAATCTATATTGAAATTACGATAAGACCTAACAGACACACCATCTGTTTACAGATGGAAAGCTGTCTGGACCGAACGTAAATTGTTTCCAGCAACTTTTATCTGCAATAGGGAGTGAGCACCTCAAAAGAGTTAAGATTTTAATAAGATATTGATAACTTTAGCATTGTCAATGAGTCAATTTAGATTGTATTCTGCCTTTATTAATAGTGCATATCTTTTTATGTTTTATTTGTTATTGCAATATTTAATCTCACGATTACAGATCTGTTGAATATGGGAGAAACCAATCGGCTGTATTTATCTCGTTTCTCTTTTTAATCGTGAAAAGTAAAATTAAATTAATATGACTTTATATATATATATATATATATATATATATTCATACACGTTTCATTAAATAATATAGACAAGTGTTGTCTATTTATTTTATGTAAAGTCTTTTCATAACGTCTAACACTTGACACTACATCGGAATGAAAACTCTAACATTTTTAGGCATTTAAAACAACATGCCTGCCCGCACACACAATTCCGTAAAATACTTGTCGAAAACACAATTATACTTTGACATGAAAACAATAGATAAACACTAAAAATCCTTGAAGCATTATACATCAAACAGTTAAAACCCAACCTAAACAAAATCAAATATGGAATCTCTACAAATATCCTTAAATGTCTGTAGTTGGTGACGGAGGCCATTGGTTTGTGACAACGGCTTTCCATACTTCATACTTCTCCAATTCACTCTCGCGTAGTCATGTGTGACGTCATGAGATGCGGTGCGATTTTCGCTTCTAGCGTCGTATATGCACGTGTTTATCGTTGCTTAGAGATCCTCTCTGTAAACATTCACAGACTGTCATCACTGTCTTGTACGCATATTGCTTAATATGTTGTAATTGACATCTTTGATAATGGGTTATGTAAGCCGAAAGCTTAGATAGTATTAAAAAAAATATGGATCAATATTGTGAATTTCTTTCTTCGTTCATTGATAATGTTATTAAACTTATTAGACGTTATGAAAAGAATTTACATAAAATAAATAGACAACACTTGTCTATATTATTTAATGAAACATGTATGAATGAAAAGATGCTGCCTAAATACACACAATAAATATAGATAGATAGATAGATAGATAGATAGATAGATAGATAGATAGATGCAATACAAAAGTGGGCAAAGCAACAGTAATGTGGTAAAATGTCCACCAAGTAGGAATGTGGTTAACATAAAAAAGGTGCTACAAACAAGTGATTGTGACGTTCTGGCATCAAGACAGGAACGAATTAAAATGTAGAAGATTAGACCGAGAAGTATCTTATTTTAATGGCTAGGAAGACATAGCAGTGGAGATGCGTTGGCATCAATAATATTTCATTGTGCTAGATGACTGTTGAATCTACAAGAAAGGCCATCCGTTCTTTAACAGGTCTTGGTATTAATCCTGCTTATTATTTAACTACCATCCTCAGAATAATATATTGGTAGGGGAAACGGTTTAGTCCCCGAATACCTAATCAAATGGAGGCTACTAGTGAGTTAAATAGTGTCAGTAGCACTCGTAGAATTACATAAAACGAATCATCTAAATCAGTCTAATCTCTGCAGTGTATCATCATTTCAATGAACCGAATATATTTTCTGAGTAGAAATTCGAGTAATTTATTATTTTTAAGAATTTAATTATTTTCATATATACAGCTTTGATTTTTTTTCCAATTTGTTGCTTTATATTAGATTATTTTTATTAAAATTCTCACTTTTCTAATTATTTCATTAATGTTGCGCTGATTATAACACACATATATATTTATTCAATTCATATTATATATATATATATATATGTAAATTGATTAAAATCAACATATAACCATAATCAATACATACATATATATATATATATATATATTATAATTAACATATAACCATTATTATCATCAAAATATACCCATCGATATATATATATATATATATATATATATATATATATATATCCATGATTATATATTGTTAAGAACCAATTGTCGCAACACAAAATCTAAGAAGAAAAGATAGAAAAAATGTTTTCAAAGGATATGACCAAGGTTTACAGGGTCAAATATACGGATGAGGGAAACACCCAACAGTAACAAACAACAAACGCCAATGTATAATCTTATAAGATTTAATTATCACAAGACAATACATGAAAACAGAAATGCAAGGTAGTGCTATTCTGTGTGGAAAGATGTATGCGTTATATATCTGATATGAATAGATGGATGCGTTATATATCTGATATGAATAGATGTATGCGTTATATATCTGATATGAATAGTCAAAGTCCACTTAGCTTTAGTCATTCGCCTAAAATAAAATAGGGTTTTCTCTTTTCCCTTTTTCCTCTCTTTTCTTTTGCTTTATATTTCTATTTTACTCTTTTTTTACTTTTAGTTTAGTTCATTATTCTTTCTTCATTATTATGAGTTTTGACCCCAACAGTTGGTCGTTTACTCTCTTCTTCACATATTCGGTAATGTAGAATTCATCGTCCTGGTAGGAAGATTCGACGCTGTATAAGTCATAGCCTGCGTCCAACTGAGGGAGTCACACATGCCTGTCTTAGGTGATTATCATGCTTAGTAATTCATCGATACATTCGATATATGCAGCATATAGTCTTGAGTTGAATTAGAACTCGTCTTCAATGTGTGATTTGCTTTGCTTGACGATAACATCTAAAAAGATGTTACTCGTATAAGATCCATATTCCAACTAATTGCTTCCGATGTTTTCCTACTTAACGTTACGTACTTGATCACGTGATTTTGTATATGTATGAGAAGCTATTTTTAGATCTCCCTTGTATCTATGACTAAGATCATCAGTCTAGCTGACCTAATTGTTCATGTAGTCAGCAACAACTCTTATAGATTGAAAGAGAGAGCGCAGTAGTGAATGTACTATATTGTAGAGAGGTGGAAAGAGAGATTGTTCGCTAATTGTAAATTAGCCGTAGTTAGAGATTTTGGCTGAGTAAGGATGTAATAATATATATATATATAAAATAGTGTGCGATGTAATACAACAAAGCTATTAAATATTATTAATAAATATAAATATTATCCCCCACCGATAAAATAAAAAAAACTATAATACCAGTATAATATATAACTTCGTCCACGTTGTGATAACCAGATATTTTTTATTAATATTTAAATTACATAACCCTCAGTCTATTTCCAACAGTCGTGCTACCAGTATAGCGTAATATATATATTTATTAATATATACTTAATAGTTCTGTCATATTACATCGAGCATTGTTTTATTAACACCAGCATTATATGTTCGATATATATATATATATATATATATATATATATATATATATATATATATATATATATATATATATATAATAAAACTCTCGTCTATAGCATGTAAATGTATCTACCGACTTAAATTATGTAACGGTCAGTCTCTACCCAACACTTGAAGATTGAATTGTGCATGAAACTCTAAGTGATGCTACCAGTAAGGGATAATATATATATATATATATATATATATATATATATATATATATATATATATATATATATACTTAATAGCTCTATTATCTTACTTTGAGCACTGTTTTATTGACACCAACACTATATATGTGATATATTATAATTACATTTATATTTTGCTTCTTTTGGCTGAGTACTTTTATAGGTGCAATAAAGTATTTATGTTTTGAATTGTAACTATTATAGGAACATGGAACCAATTAATTTGGACTACTCCACTAAAAACATCATGGTTCCTGACAAAAGATCTTATATGCTGACGTTTTTAAACAGGATCGCGAGTGTCATAAAAATGAGGTGAAAATTATTCTTCTTTATGCACAAGAACGAGTATAAAAACTTAAAAGATACCGAGCTTTATGGATTTAAGTCCCCCAAAATATCACCATTAAACATCGAGAAAGATCTATTCTCGGTAATAGACAAAATTAAGTTTGCTAAAACAACGATCTACAGCAAAAAATGATAAAGTATGGTCTTGTGATAAAAAATCAGATAAAATTATTATCAAAGCAGTTAAGTCGTGTAGTCATTACAAAATAGATGCGGATATGTACTACAAAGCTATTAACAAAGAAGTTAATAAGTTTTATAAGAAGCATCCAACAACTGGGAAAATAACATGAATAGTGAAGCCACGAAAATAGGCATAGATTCCACAAATAGCACAGTTAAAACCAGAAGGGAAATTTCCCAAAACTACTCTCAATGCCAAATACTCAAACCAAATAAAAAATAATATCACTAAAATCAACAAAAACATCCTTGAAAGAGCGTGCATCTACACAATAGATGCTCTAGGAATTCCCCGGTGGTATAAAAAATCAGCAGCTATAGAATGGTTTGCTAATATAAAACGATAGAATGAATGTACATTCATCAAATTCTATATCTGTGACTTTTACTCGTCCATCACAGAGAATTTGCTGTTTTCTATAAATTTAGCAAAATATTACTGTCCCTATTAGATATCAAGAAATAAATATCATAAAGCAGGCACTAAAATCTATGTTATTCCATAATGGTTATCTGTGGACTAAAATTTTAACCATGCACCAACACTAAAAAAGATTCTTAGCAAAAATAATGCTAAGATCACCTAGAGGTGCGTTAATAAAACCGATAAATCTATATCCCAACATAACAACATTATATTTAATAAATATATTTCCAAAAAAACAACATTAATTTTTTTTTAAATAAATGCAATTCCCGAAAAAATATGATCTCCCGCGGTCAATGATAATATTGTATACTGAGCTAGTATACATTCTAGGAAATCCTTAGAAATTTCATTTCTGCCATAATCGAATGACTTTAAGGAATATAAAATACAAAAACAACAGTGCTCTGTCTAAATATTTATGGCAAATAAGGAATGTCTCTAATACACCTATTATCACCTGGAATGTTCTAGTAAGAGCCAATTCTTACAAATGGAAATGCAATAGGTGTAATTTATATCTGGTTGAAAAATTAGTTATCTTCAATTAATTAAACAACCACAGATTATGAAACAAGAGAAATTAATTTATGGCTACATGTAGGCATAAAAATAAATACCTGTTTACATACGTTGATCTAAATTCATTTTTGATGAAATTAAGTTTTTTTTTTAAAAAAAGATCAAGTAATCTCACTTTGAGCTTAACATAAAATTTAACATTCACAACTCTATATATATATATATATATATATATATATATATATATATATATATATATATATATATATATATAATTTTGACCGTCAGATCTCTCTAGGTGGCCGGCAATAAGTGATCATATATTTACTTACCTTGTATGTTATTTTTCAAAACATACATTGCTAACCATTCATTACTTTTTAAGTAATACACATATTAATGTCTTTGTTTGCTTCCGTTCTTATATTATGGCCGCTTATATATATATATATATATATATATATATATATATATATATATATATATATATATATATAATATTGAATCCATTTTATCTATATATAATAACATAAAATAGAAATATAATAAATAAAGAATAGACTGGATTGAATCGTTGGATTAAAAATCTTAGATTGCCTTATTTTAACATTGAGAAATGTCCATATTATTTATCTTATAATCCTGTTACTTTTTACAATTGCCTATCTATCTATCTATCTATATATATATATATATATATATATGTATGTATATATGTATGTGTGTGTTGCATTATTTATTGAGCTTCAATCCCTCCACTATTTCTTTCGTTATGCAAGAATTCTGGTAGAAAGATAACAACAGTTTTCAGGAATGGCTTAAATCATTTTGTCATTCCAGATCTTTCCAGATAAGTGAAAATCTATGAAAAGCTTTAAATCTCGAAAAATATACAAATTGTTTCCAAAGTCTTCTAACACCACTTTACCCTGGGTTTCATTGCTTTAGCGATCGTCAGACAATGTCTGACGATCGCTAAAGCGTGAAACCCAGGTTACAAACTCATCTATCCAACCAAATCTATATATATATATATATATATATATATATATATATATATATATATATATATATATATATATAGTCATCCACAAGCAGACTGTATCACAGCTTTCAGTGTGGCTAGAAACGCGATTGCTTCAAGCCCGGATCGAAAACTCGACCGATTTTACATCAGTTGGAGACTTTTTACTGAGGCTATCGGCGCAGGCTACGGAGAAAGGGAATTTTTAACTCTTTATATTCGTGACTTATGCACCATCATCTTTCAGAGTGCTCTATTCATTACGAAGAATTTCGTATTATAGCAGCACCGTCATATATATATATATATATATATATATATATATATATATATATATATATATAATTTAAATTTCATTCATTACAATGCAGGTTACGATAGCAATCGTAATTACTAATGAAGAGTAGTAGAGAAATAGCAGAGAAGTAATATTGTAGTATTCTGGAAGGCATCTTTAGTAGTAGTAATATTGTAGTATTCTGGAAGGCATCTTTTCCAAAGTCTTTTCCTCAAATTAGCAGTTCTTGAAGAAAAAGATATTTCAGTAGAACTTTCTCTATTTATTTGCAATGCGGGGGTAATGAGGAGAATTCGAATCCGTGGAAGTAGCATGGTGTGTACTTCCATCAGCATGACTGATGATAACTGCCATACTCGTTGCGAACGTTTTCCTCTAACAAGAAGTGAAAAGAATATATTGAATTAATTGCTAGGTCGGCTGCTAAAAAAAAAACAAAAAAAAAAACGTAGTTTCACAGTGTCGTGTTAGACATTTTTATCTCCAGAATCTTTCTTACATATTTATAAATCTACCATTCGTCCATGATTTGAATATTGATACCGTGTTTAGTCTGGTGTTTCTGTTTTATATTTAGCGATTCAATAGATTTTATAAAATCCAAAGAAGAATGCAATGTTATTTCTCCTGATTTAGCATCTCTGCTTCAGTCACTTTGCCACCGCTGTAATGTAGAATTCCTGTGTCTTTTCTATAAATATGGTAACTATTCTAATGAATTTTTCGCTATGGTACCAAGACTTTATAGATTTAAGTGCAGTACAAGATTAGCAACAAGTTCTCGTCGATTTAGAGTTGATTTAACTAGAGGTAACCGTAAGTTCTATACCAACAATCACTTTTCTAGCACTTCTTAATTGTGGAACTCTCTTCCGGCTTCTTGCCTTCTAGCCAACTTTGATTTTCAATTGTTGTCTACTGCATTCTTGATTCTTATATTTTTATTGTTCTCTCACCCATAATAATATTTTATTTTTTCGTTTTCTTATTCTTAACTTTGGGTATTAGTGGATTTACTGTCTTGCATGGAGTGAAATGATTTTAAAACAGTCTGAACTGGTAGCACTGAACATATGAACATTTGCCATGGAAATAGCGATATATCAGAAAGACGTTTGCAACGTTGCCTCTGTAGGAAAGAGAACACAAATTGAAGAATATCGTTCATTAGAGGAATGTCGAAAGATTGACGTCAAGTGCAACGGCCATTGGGAATGACGATGCACAAAAAGTACGAGATTTATCCATTTATTTTATTTTTTTTATGTTTAAATGTTTGATACTAATTTGATTATCATATAACTCATCAAAAAATTGGAAAATTATAATAAAATATTAAACAGACAGACCTGCTCGCCTCTTTTCAGTCAAAGTTGTTTGGACGAATACTTGCTACCTAAATATATATATATATATATATATATATATATATGTGTGTGTGTGTGTGTGTGTGTGTGTGTGTGTGTGTGTGTGTGTGTGTGTGTGTGTAATTACAATTAATGAGATCCAAACGAATTACCTCATACAGATGATTATTTCGTCAATGGGAAAGTACTTTTTCCCTGGATTTATCAAGGCAAATATATTTAAAATGTATAAACCCTATCTTCACAGGAAATTTGAAAGGCAAAGGAAGAAAAGAAGGAAAAAAGAAAAACGAAAGAATAAAACGGGAGGGAATAAGAATTGGCCTATAATAGAAGATGGAGTTATATAGATAAAGTGGGTTAAGGGACGTAAGGTCCTAAGGTCGCGCTCCTTTTATTCTTTCCTTATCATTTTTTCTTCTTTCCTTCTTTTGCCTTTCAACTTTCCCGTGAAAAAGGGTTTATTCACTTTAGTAAATATATTTGCATTGATACATCCTTGGAAAAACTACTTTCCCATGGACGAAATGATCATCTGTATGAGGTAATTGTTTGAATCTCATTAATTGTAATTCACTTATATGCTCTATAATAAAAATTATATTGAGCTCTCTTTTGTGGATCAGTTTTAATATTTTATATTAATAGGATCTACTTGAATTACTTACCCACGGATTGTTTTACCTATCTATCTATCTATCTATCTATCTATATATATATATATATATATATATATATATATATATATATATATATATATATATATATAACTGAGAAAGGCAATAGGAAAACTGCGTGTAGTCTTAACCGACGCGTTTCAACAAATGGGTACATTTCAAGGCAAAAAACCGAAATGAATTGAAAACAAAGTATCTATGAAAATATACATACATTGTTTCAATAAATTCATTTCGAATTTGCCTTTAAAAAATGTCAACATTAGATGAAACGTGTGGGCTAAAACTAAAAGTTTTTGTATTGTCGTCTTTCTTTACACATATGACGGAAGATACCCAAGTCGATACCCGATCAGTATTGGTTGGGTTACCGTGGAGAAGGGGTATGATATTGAAAGACCCAAAGCCCCTAATGGACCTCGGCAAGAAACATCACTGATAATATGTACTAAACCATCTAATAGATGTATTTTACGCAATTTCTACAGATTCATTCTGAAAATATTTTTACATGCATATATATATATATGCGCGTGTGTGTGTCTCTATTTGTGGGTTTAGGCAGTAAATCGGCTTTTAGACATGTCTGATTAAATAAATTCCAAACAGTATGTCTGCTTATTTTTAGCATAATCCTCTCATATTCACGAATATTTTTTTGTGTATAACAATCAAAAGGCGCAAGAAATGCGCTGTAACAGAGGAAATCACTTTTATTTCCCAAGTAATTTCTATCTCTTTCTGAGATCATCATCATATATATATATATATATATATATATATATATATATATATATATATATATATATATATACACCGCTGATTGACAAAATGTAAGACAATTGCTGCAATCTTTGTGAAATCATTTGTGTGACAAGTCTTAGTGTGGATTTTTTGCAACAGGCTGAATCTGTGTACATACATCAGCTTACCACACATGGTTCTCTTCATTGCTCTGTCCTTAGTTGAGTTTCTATCGTGACATTATCCATGACAACATGGACTTTACTGTTATCATTAATTTTTTCAATGAAATGGTAATTGGTAGGGTAAGTCAAACATCATTTGCTACTTTCACCATAACATATCTTTAGGTTTATCACATCGCCTTCTGCTTATGTGTACTTATAGTTGGTACTATTGTGGTCAGGTGTTTGAGGGTGACGGCGCCAGGGTTCTTGTTATTTTTACAGATCCTCTATGAGAAAGTGTAGATAATTACTTACTTACCATCGTAATTTTGTTGGAGTGATGGACAATGCTATACTCGTACATGTTAACGCAAAGCAGCATGTGACCCTACCGGAAGTGAGCAGGCTCTTTATTATCGTAACAATGGAATACCTAATTACTAAGCAGTGTAGTAATTTTGCTAATACATTTTTTTTCATGTTACGTTCCTTTGAACACTTTTAAGGATTTTAAAAGGAGATTTATTTCTTTATGAACGCCATTTCTCAGTGGGGAAATAGTCGTCTAGAGAAACAAATACGGAAATATGATTACGTTTCTTTATATTAATTTAAAACGTAAGATTGTTAAAAAAAATGTGATAATAGAGATGATAGTAACAAATTAATAAGAAATATTGCAGTCATATCTGTCTGGGTTGGAGAGGTTCATTACTTACATTCCACTCATGATAGAGTTCAGAATATTTTAGACCAGCGGTAGTGAAACCGTGACCTTAAGACCACATACAACATTCTATCACGTGCGGTCTTCCAGATAATTTATAAAATTTGGAGCCGGAGCTGAAGCCAGCAAAAATATACTAGATCCAGCTCTAACTCCCTAAACTAAACGTCCGTTGGTGTTAACTTGGAACCATTGAGATGTTTATAGCAAAATTACATATATCATCGCACTAATATTATTCTGCTTGTAACAAAGCTCTTCGTTAGTGACTTAGTGACATGTATGCTGGCTATACCTTGACTAACGTTTCACCTTCTTACTAGCAATTTCAGCTTTTATTTCTCCATGATAACAAAAAGTCGATAAATATATTTTAATCAAAAACAAAAAAAATCGTACATACTGTATGAATAAAAAAAATTAAATTATTTTACCTAGAAAAAATGACACAAAATTCAAACCACGTTTTATCAGTGTTTATATTTATTTTTTTGTTCATACCGTAAGTATGACTATTGTATAGAGCAGTAAATAAAAAAAAAAGTCCCCTACTTTGCCTAGTGAAATGGCCAGTTCACGAAAAGGAATTAGCGCTTAGGTGTGAAAGAAATATTCAAACAACGAAATGCCTCACCGTAAGAAAACTAGAGAAATGAAGAAATAAATTCCCGAGCTTATGTTGGAAGTAAATATTAAATCAATGAAAAGAATGGCTTTTGGGAAATTATTGAAAAAGAAAAGAAATCCATGAGACAGTGTGAGAAAATGAACTGTGGCCTATAAACAGATACAGTGCTGACAACAGTCAGAAGACAGTCAAAAAAGGAGAGACTTGGACATAGACGTCTGCAAATGTAATTCAACTTAGAAGCTGGCCTTTCAGAACATTAATGACATCTATTTCTACGACTCAAGTTACAAAGAAAAATTTCTACTACCAAATGAAGGATGAATGTAATATAAAAAAAATTCAAATTTCGTTCCCTTCGACCAGCGAAAAGTGTTCCTTGGTAAAATTATACGCCATCTTGAGATCAGCCTGTTTATTACGTATCAACCTGAAAGAGTAAATATTTTCAGCATTGACTCTTTTCATCTATCACCTTTTAAATATTAATCTCACACCGCTTTAATTAACAACGAACTTTATTTCTTTAAACAGTATTTGTTTTTTGGGAATTTTCACTGAAACATTGAACTTATAGTTAACGGAGGATAATTGTGTTGTACTAAAACGTGTTGCTAACTATATATTGTTATCAATAATCAATTATTGATTGTATTATAATCAATATTAAGAGATTACAAAGAAGTATATCTATTAGAATTTAGGTTAATAGCCGTCTATTATGGAATTATCAAGTCCGAAATTCAGTAAGGTATATTAATCATTACTGTGAGACTAACTAAAGTTGGCAGCCGGAGATTGAGGCGGAAATTTTAAAATGTTGAAGCTGGAGCCAGTAAATTTCAAAATGTTGGAGCGCGAGCCGGGGCTGGAGCTGAATATTTAGTTGTCCGCTGAACAATGCTGCTTTTGATCAGTGTTGCACGGGTCTCACAAGCATATTTCCCCAGGCAAGCCATCAAAATTTCCCTTTTCAACATAAAATATCCCTTTCTTATTTGAGGCTATAATACAACTTTAATAATGGCTATACTTGTATATTTTAACTGCTCGTAGTACCTTTATTAACCTTGTTTATGTTTACAGTTCTCTGTGCAGATAACATGATTTTCAATAACAACAATGCCTATATAAGACTAGTTCTTTGTGTTTGTTAATGTTTGTTTATCTTTTTGTTAATATTTATTTATTTTTTCAGAATTGATGTAATGGAATAACCAATCACCCCCATGAATGATTACACTATAGGTAGTAAGTGCCTATAAAGTCCACAGACTACGAGAGACTCGAGGAGAGGGAGAGAAGTGAAAGCGAGACGAGGCAAGCACTTCCGACCTTCCAATTAGTGGCACTCACTATTAGATCAACTTGTGTATGTATAACTGTACCGTATTTCATATTGTTCTTGTTGGGTACAATAAACCTTTCTTCTAGTAGTGATTTTCCAAGCGTAGCTCAGATGTGGCACAAGGCCGAAAGTATGGGGTACCCAGAGAGGATCGAACTTACTACTCAGTCGTAATAGTTCTAGCGAGACAAGCTTGCTAACCATTACACCACCTCAAGGTGCCCTAATGATTTTCCAAGCGTTGCTTGGATGTGGCACAAGGCTGAAAGTAAGGAGCACCCAGTAAGGACTGAATTCACTACTCAGTCGTGAATTTCATTTTTTTTTTTTTGTTTTTTTTTTGCAACATGCAGTTGCGAATCCACATTCTCGTACTTGACACAAATTAAGAATTCGTTGAGAAAACAGTTGGCGGATGAAAATTTGAAGGACCAATTAAAACTAAAAGCCATCATGTTAGAGCCTGATATCAAAATGCAATCTCAAAAGAAGCAATATTAAGAAAGTCATTAATTTGTTTAAAAAGCGAACAATATATTTGTTTGAAATATCTTGTTGCTCAGTTTTATAATATCTGTTTCTATTAGAGTATATATTCATTAAATTTTATTTTAAACATTATTTAATAAGATATAAAATGTGTTACGGTATAAAAAAAAATCACAATGAATTTTATTGTGGCCTTCATGCACAAGTTTCTCCTCGCCTGCTCTAAACCAGTTCAAACGTCGAGCTTTGTAGAGAATACCAGGATCTAGACAAAAAGAATTCTAGCTACCACACGGTTCTTGATAATGACTGCGCAACTCGAAAGTACTTGAAAAAATAACAAAATATGAACATCGGACATTTTATCTACAACTTCGAGCACTATACTCAAAACCTTATCCGAAAATTGGAAAAAAAATATTTTTTAAAAATTAAACAAACAGGCCCTGTTGGCTCTTCTTACTCAAAGTTACCTGCTGCCTAAATATGCCGTATGCATATAATTCTCTACATACAACATACCAAGCCCTTGTCAGCCGGCAAC